CCGCTCACCTGTACCCCTCTTTCCCAAGACCTTCCTCGAGAAACTGCCACAGCCCCCTCAGCCGTCGGCGAGGACCTTGACCTATGGCACCTGTTGTCTGAACCGGCGCATTTGTACGGAACTGCGTACAGGTATTTTATTATCTTTGTCAGGGTAGAGTCTATATACCGTTAATGTCACTGCTTTGAAGTATGCGATTCAATACACTTTGACAAGGCACGCCGACGTCACCAGCCTGATGGGGGACATTCCATCGCGGGGCAGGGTCCCCGTGTCCCCTCAGCCAGTGCCTTCTCATCATTGACCCACGACAGTCGCTGATTTGATTTTCACCGCTGTTGTTTTTGCTTCTTCTAGAACTTCACATAAGTGGAATAATGTAGGATCTGGTCTTACGCGTCTGGATTCCTCACGCCCGCGCTGGAGCGTGTACCAAGGGCCCGTTCCTTCTTGTCGCTGGGGCGTGTTTTATGACGCGGAGGTAGTACAATGTACTGATCTGTTCACCAGCCGATGGAAACTTCGGTTCTTTCCAGTTTCGGGCTGATAAGTATGAACCTGCCGTAAACACGCGAGCACTAGTCTTTCATTTTCTTTGGCTGAGTGCGCGGGAGTCAGCTGCTGGCTCCTATGGTAAGTGCGTGTGTTGCTTCATACGGACCGCTGCGCCGTTTCCTCGCCGTGGCCGTGGGGGCTTGCGCTCCAGCCGCGCGAGCGCCTGCACGGCCCCGGGTCCCCACCCACACCTGCGGTCCTGTCGGCCACGCTCCCGAGTGAGCAGCGGCATCTCACTGCGGCTTTAATTTCATTTCTCCGATCACCTATCGCGTTGAGCATAATTTCTTGTGCGTAGTTGCTGTCCATGGATTTCCTTTGGTGAATTGACCTCAAACTTCTCACCTGTTTCTAGAGTTGTGTCTTCTTGTCTTCGAATTGTAAGAGTTCTTTGTATATTCTGGACACAATCCATGATCAGATATAAGATTACAATTCTTTCCCCCATTCTATGGTCTGTTTTTAATTTTCTTGAGTATTTTTCAAAAAGCGGAAGCTTTAAATCCTGATCAATTTATCAAAACTTATGTCTGTGTGTGGTTTTTTGTTTGTTTGTTTGTTTGTTTTACAGTTCATGTCTTTTGCAATTTAGATAAGAAATCTCTACCATTCCCAAGGGCACAAAGATTTTCCCTTCCGTTTTCCTCAGATGTTTCATGGTTTGGGCTCTCACATTAAATTCGTATTTCATTCTGAGCTATCTTTTCATTTGTAGGATGAGGTAAAAGTAAGGATCAACTTTTTATGCACGAACATTCAGATGTTCCAATATCATTTATCGAAAAGATTGTTTTTTCTCTATTGACTCAATCAGCACCTGAGTTAAAAATCAGTCGGCCATTGACATGTGGGTCTATTTCTGGACTCTGTTCCATCCCGTTGATTTATGTATCCACCCCTCTACCAACGGGACGCCGTCACGATGCCTGTAGCTTCGTAGGAAGTCGTGCGATCAGGTAGTATGAATCCTACAATTCTGTCCTCTTTTTCAGAATTGCTTTGGTTCTTCTAAATCCCTTGGATTTCCATATAAATTTTAGGATCAGCTTATCAGTTTCTTCAGAAGTCCTGCCTCAGGTTTGATTTGGATTGTGTTGCATCTGTAGATCAGTTTGGAGAGAACTGACATCTTAATATTGGACTTTGTAATCCTGAAACAGATACGACTCTCCTTTCCTTTAGATCTTAATTCCTCTTAGCAACGTTTTATAGTTTTCAGTATAGAAATCTTGTATCGATTTTCAAGATGTAGTCAGAAGTACTTTGTTTCATGTCTTTGATGTTATTATATTTTTTTCCAGTTTCAATCGCCAGTTCCAAATATTGCTAGAGCAGAGAATTACAATTGATCTGTGTAGGCTAATTCTCACCAGGGTATTTTTTTTTTTTTTTACATATTGTATATTTTGTGTACAGAACATTTATTTGGGTTGTTTTTAATATCTTTTGTCATTTTCCTCATTGTATTTATGCTTTCCTCTACCTTCCTGAGCATTCGGAATGTATTTGTAGTCCCTACAGAGCAGTTTTGTCTATCATCTCCGTTATTGTTCTGTTTGTTCACGCAGCTTATGGGTCATATTTTCCTGTTTCTTCAAATGTCCGTGCTCTAGTCCATTAGAGTGGCTGTGACAAATTACCACAGCGGTGCCTGAACAGCATACATTTATTGCTACCATCTGGGAGGCGGGAAATCCGAGACTCGGGGGCAGCAGACCCGGAGCCTGCCGAGGACCCGTCTTGGTTCAGTGTTCTTGTCATCCTCCCGTGGCGGAGAGGACGGAGAGGAAGGGGCTCTCTTGTGTCTCTTCTGAGAACACTAACCCCATTCCCGAGGGGAGGCCCCGCCTCCCAGTGCCACCACCTTGGGGTTAGGCTTCTGCATCTGAACTTCAGGGAGACACAAGCACTCAGCCTACAGTGGTCTAGAGATTTTTGTTCGGATGCCTGACATGAACCTTACATTGTTGGAGGCTGGAATGTGCTGCACGTCCTTGTTCTGGAATGTAGTTACATTACTGGAATATACTAGAATATACTAGTCCAGTATTCTAACGAAGGCTTCCTCTTGTTACAGCAGGCTCAGAGCAGCGCTTACTGTCGGTTTATTTGAGCGACGTCACTCCTAACAGGGCGTTGTTCTGAGGATGCTGTCCGATCCTCTGTGACTTAGAAGGTGCTGCTCCCTCGGGAGAGAACGATTCCTAGCCCAGGACTCTGAGGATTTCTCTCTCTCCTTTCTGCTATCAGACTTGCATTGCCTCCTCTCAAGGACAACTCTCTGCCGCGCTCCTTATTTTCTGTGTGGCTCCCTCCTTCCTGTGTTTTGTCTTGCAAAGTATAGCTGCCCCGGCCTCCCAGGACTGCGATCCCTGTGTCCTCTGTGAGGCGGCCGCTCCCGGGCCAGCTTGCCCCACGCTCTGCACTTGGATGAGCCGGGGCCTCCTGGGGTTCGGGGCCATGGCGCCCTCCGCCGGCTCCCTTCTCGTCAGGGACCATAATCCTGTGACTCCTTTGGCCCAGTGTCTGAAAACTGTCATTTAACACACTTCACTGGTGGTTGAACGCGGTAAGGTACATTTGGTTTCTGTTAATCCCTCGTGGCTGGAGCCGTTAATCTTGCGGCCATGTTTGACTGATACGTTTCACCGGACAATCTGGTTGATATGCTCCTCCCGTCACATTCTTTCTGGGCCTCGCTGTGCGGTTCTTCTACACACCCTCGGGCCCTGAGAATGGATGCTGGAGGTGACTGCAGATGTGCACACGTGACCCTCGCCTCCCCCTAGGTCAGTCCCCAAGTGACAGCTCCAGGCTCAGGCGAGGAACGGGCTTGTGGCCGCCAGATGCGTGACTAAAATGAGAATGCAGTTATATGACAAGTGAGCTCAGAAAACCCTTCAGGGTGAGCTCTGTGTTATGGGGACGTCCTCCCGGAGTGTCGGGTATCGGTGCTGACCGAGGACGACGTGGCACAGCGTGGTAGCTTTGCTGCCGGTGCACTGGACGGGGCAGGACGGGGGAGGAAGTGAATGCACATTTAGCACGATTATCAGCATGCCCGGCCAGGGGCTTGTGGGGACCGGGGGGGGGGACAGATGATCAACCAGGATGGTCACACTTAATAGCAGAGAATGAATGAATATGAATATAAGAGAGTTCTCTGTCTTTCCCTGTTTGAGTGTGTTTCGAATGCCGGTTTTCAGAGTCCTTCCCTCTGAGGCCCAGCTCCACCCTCACTCATCTCCCGGAGAGTTTCTTGAGCTAGGCCCCATGCACTGACCTGCTGGCCTTGACTTTCCTTCCCGCAGTCTGGTTGCTGACGATTAGGACGTGGCTGCCCCTGCAGATCGGTGGCCGGAGACTAGAGTGCAGCAGGCAGCAGCCGCGGCTTCCGAGAAGGTTATATACGTTCCTACTGCCTTTCAAGCCAGTCTTACTCAGCGTATCCTGAGAATGATTGTCCTGTTCAAACTTTAAAAAATTCTACCAGAGATTCTCACGTCTCCAGGAGGATGAAAAACACTGACTCGTGTGGTCCACTATTTGCAGGCAAAGACTGTAAATTATACGTGTTCTACACACACCTACACTTCTGTAGATTTTGTTCAGTGGAATCTTATTGAACGTAATTACATTGACTTTAGCAGCAAGATGTGTGTGTAGGTCAGAATCGGTAGTTTTGCTGGTCTCGCCCTTCCTTATGCTACAGGTCGGGGATTGACAGATGGCACCCATGGCGACCGAGTCTGCTCAAGCCCATTCATGTGTCTAGGGTCCCTTTCACGCCACCCGGACAGACCTGAGTAGTTGGGACAGAGACTGATGGCCTGCAGAGTGTGAAATATTTACTATCTGGTCCTTTACAGAAAGAGGTTGTGGACCCCTGTTCTAAATGAATATTTAAAAAAATTTTGGGGGGGAGCATCTTAGTGGTTCAGCTGGTGGAACATCCAACTTCAGCTCAAGTCACAATCTCAAGGTTAGTGAGTTCGAGCCCCGCATTGGACTCCCTGCTGTCAGGACAGATCCTCTGTCGCTCTCTCCCCTGCACTCTCTCATGCTCTCTCTCGCTCTCAAAAATGAATAAACATTCATAAAAAAATTAAAAAAATTAAGTTGATTTATTTATTTTGAGAGAGAAAGAGAGCACAGGAGGGACAGAGAGAGAGGGAGACAGAGAATCCCAGGCAGGCTCTGCACTGTCAGCACAGAGCCCGATGCGGAGCTCGAACTCGTGAACCATGAGATCGTGACCTGGGCCGAGGTCCAGAGCCTGATGCTTCACAGAGGCCCCAGCCGCCCCCCGAATGGGTATTTTCACGTAAGCCAGCACGCCGTGCCTGCCTTGCGTCCTCAGGAAACGGAATGCTGGCGACCAGATTTTCCCGCTGCCCGCGAATATTCATCTCAACCACAGCGTGTCTTGCTTTCTTTCTCCTCAGACGCACTTCTGTTCCCTCGGCCGGGGAGCCGGAGGCCTGGGGCGCCCCTTCCGCACCGGGCCGCGTTTTCCGCCGAGAGCAGGGGCACCATGAGCGGGGTGAGTGTCTCATCTGCTGGGGCCGCGGCTCCTCGGGGCCCCCGCTCCGGCTAACTCTGCCTTTGTTCACCTTGCAGGACCCAGTGAACTTCAGCGATGCCTTCAGTCTGAATGAGGATTATTTCGGGTCGGGTAACAGTTCAGACTACGTACTTGACGACAATGCCTTGCTGTGCTCCTTGCAGGAGGTCAGGACGTTCTCTGGGCTGTTCGTGCCCATCGCCTACTCCCTGATCTGCATCTTTGGCCTCCTGGGCAACGTTTTGGTGGTGGTCACCTTTGCTTTCTACAAGAAAGCCAAGTCTATGACAGACGTGTACCTGTTGAACATGGCCGTGGCCGACATACTGTTTGTCCTCACGCTCCCGTTCTGGGCCGTCAGCCACGCCACCGGCACGTGGCTCTTCAGCAACGCCACGTGCAAGCTGATGAAGGGCATCTACGCCGTCAACTTCAACTGCGGCATGCTGCTGCTGACCTGCGTCAGCACGGACCGCTACATCGCCATCGTCCAGGCCACCAAGTCCTTCCGGCTGCGGTCCAGGGCGCTGGCACACCGCAGGGCCATCTGCCTCGTGGTCTGGGGGGCGTCCGTCCTCATCTCCAGCTGGACGTTCATGTTCAGCCAGAAGTACAGCGTGCAGGGCGGCGCCGTGTGCGAGCCGCGCTTCCAGGCCGTCTCGGACCCCGTCCGCTGGAAGCTCCTGATGCTCGGGCTCCAGCTCCTCTTCGGCTTCTTTGTCCCGCTGGTCTTCATGATATTCTGCTACATGTTCATCGTCAGAACCCTGGTGCAGGCCCAGAACTCCAAGCGGCACAAGGCCATCCGCGTGATCATCGCCGTGGTGCTCGTGTTCCTGGCTTGCCAGATCCCGCACAACATGGTGCTCCTGGTGACGGCCGCGCAGCTGGGCAGGACGGACCGCTCCTGCCAGAGCGCCCGGCTGCTGGCCTACAGCAAGAACGTCACCGAGGTGCTGGCCTTCCTGCACTGCTGCCTCAACCCCGTGCTGTACGCCTTCATCGGCCAGAAGTTCCGCAGCTACTTCCTGAAGATCGTGAAGGACCTGTGGTGCCTGCAGAGGAAGCAGAAGGCGTCCGGCTTCTCCTGCTCCAGGCTGCACTCGGAGACCTTCACCTCCAGGCAGAACAGTGAGACCGTGGACAACGAGAACGCCTCGTCCTTCACCATGTGACCGGCCGCGGCCCCGCGTGGGCTTGGACTCGGGACCCCGTCGTCCCACAGGGCTGGCCGCGGAGCCTCAGGTCCGCGGGGCTGCCGGGGTCCCCGCGCGGCGCGTCCCCACTCTCCTTCCCCGCAGCCCTGAGCCCCTGGGGCTCCCGCGGCTGGTGCTCCCCGAAGCAGAGCGAACTGCTGAGAGGCGTGGACGTTTTCCGGAGCAGTCGTGAAACGGCCCCCGGAGCGCGATTTCTCCCCGTCACGGCCAACGGCTGCGGGGTCTGCAAAACCCAAGCGGAGCCCGTCGCGTGAGAGCCGCTCGCAGTCGCGCAGGCACAGCTGAAGCCCGCTCCCCGGGCTGGAGAAGCGGCCTGCGGAGATGGAACAGAGCAGGCGGTGACGGCCATCAGGAAAGCGTGTGTTTGCCTTATTTCCCTGGGAAAACGGTCTCTGCAAGTGATAATCCTCCTCCACAAATCTGCTCGACGGACAGAGTTCCACCAAGATGCACACAGACGGCACCCTTCTAGCACCCTGACGGGCTTAATAAATAGTTGTTAACAAAGCCCAGGCAATGAGAAAGAATGAAATCTGGCCATGTGTAGCAACATGGATGGACCTTGAGGGTGTTGTGCTGAGCGAAATAAGTCAGGCAGAGAAGGACAAATACCATATGTTTGCACGTATAGGAGGATTAGGAGGAACTTGATGGAGGAACAAGGGGGAGAAGAAGGGCGGAAATGGTGGGGGAAAGGGAGTGAGGCAAACCATGAGAGACTCTTGAATGCTGACAAAAACTGAGGACTGATGGGTGTGGGGGGGGGGGGGGGATGGGCATGGAGGAGGGCACTTTGGGGATGAGCACTGGGTGTTATGTGGAAACTAATTTGACAATTAACTATTTGTAAAAAAAAACAAAACAAAAAAAAAACAAAAAAAAAAACAAAGCCCAGTGACCTTGGGGTTATAGTACAGTTGGGAGTGGCAGGTGTTTAAATTTTACTTTTAAAGGAGCAAGGAAGCTTCCCCGAGATGGTACAGAAAGAACTTTTGTTCTGGGTCCTCGTGGGTCAGAAGCCGCCCACACGGGGGGGATGTGGGTACCAAGGTCCTCATGCTGGGGGTCGACAGCTGATCCTCCCCTTCTGCCCGTGACTTTAAAGTGTTTTTACCTAAAGTCTGAGGCTAATCATGGAATCATATATATATATTTTTTTTTTTTTTGAGTGTGAGAGAGAGATATAGAGAGAGAGAGAGATATAGAGAGAGAGAGAGAGAGAGAGAGAGAGACTCTTAGCAGGCTCCATGCTCAGCACAGAGCCTGATGCAGCAGGGCTTGATCCCACAAACTGCAAGATCATGACCTGAGCCGAAGAAACCAAGAGTCAGACGCTTAACGGACTGAGGCTCCCAGTCATGGAATCAGACTTTAACAGCTCTCCTCCACCTTGTAGAAAGTTCATAGATCGCACATTTTGAATGTGCTTTGTAAATATACGAACACAAGTGGGAAAATTACAAATATGGCAAAAATGCAGAACCTTAGAAAGGTTCTGACGTGAATTGCAAAGATACTGACATGTTTAATCCGGATACGTGTGTTATTTGAAATGTTTTGTTCTTGTAAGCTTGTAAGAAATTCAACGTGATTTCTTAGGATTCAAGGTCTGTATGATCACAAATAGTTTCGGCTTTGCAGAATAAAGCCATTTTGAACGGGAAGTGGGATTTGTCTTCCAGATCAGTGTTCTGACCTGGGGGACTGTGGTGGTCAGAGGTCCCGCAGCCTTCAACCTGTCAGCGTGCTGCTCCAGAAAGCAAAGCCAAGGGGACGTTAGTCAGAGGCCCCTTTCAGGACGGCCCGTGCGCCGAGTGGTCTCTGCAGATCATCTTGTGGAATAAACTTTTCTGTGTGATTTTTCAGATAAGTGAGGCTTACTTCCTTATGCTCTAGCCTGTTTAAAATTTCAGCCACAACGAATAAAAATGTTTCTAAAATATGACACATACTTTATTTCATTAAATATCATCGTTGTTTCTCGCTGCCTTGGGCATCAGAACACACCCCGTACGTGTTTGGTGCCGAGAGGTACTGATATCCTCAGAAGACCCAGAGCCACACGGTTTTGCTCCCATATTAAGCGGCTCTGGATCGTTCTTTGAAAGTCCTGATGTCTTCTTGTCGTCAGTTTCCCCAAATCTGCTCCTATCTCAGGCTCCGGCTGCACCATACGTGGGTCTGACATTAACCCACCCTCTGCCCTCTGCAAATGCTACTCTTCTGTGGTCTGGAATCACCCATCTGCCCTGTAAGAACTCTCTTCCTAGGGGCAATGCCTTAGGATGTGCCGGTCTGTTGTTAATAAGCCAATTGTGTATGTGTGCTTACACATATTGTGTACACACGTGTGTGGGTTTATATATAGTCACAGCTACCTGTGCTGGTGGGGAGGCGACTCCTCTTGGTTCCCGTTAGCCGAGGCGATCTTCATCAATTCTATCTGGACAAATGAGATTTTATCACACATGAATCTCAATAAAGGTGACGACCTGAACGGCGAAGTATCACCTTGCAAACGGCCCACCGAGAGGGCTCGTGCTTAAGTATCACCTTGCAGACTGAGTTGTGATTTGCTTCCAAACAGATAGGCTAGTTTTAAAATGAGGCTGGAAAAGTATGATATTTTCAAATCCTTTTAATATTTCTGATAATGTGTGCAAATTCCAGGGACTGGGCGAGGAAGGCGGTGTAGGAACAGAGAATCTGGTCTAAAGGAATACAGTGTACTGGTGCGTTAGTTCGGGAAGGTGCTGGAATAAAATAGCACTGACCCTGAACTTCAGTGGCAGACAGTGCTTCACAGTCCTGGAGGCTGGATGCCTGAGATCCAGGCGTGGGCAGGGTCGGCCGTGCCCTTTCTCCTGGCAGTGTAGACAGCCACCCTGTGTGTGACCCGGTCACAATGGGTCAGGTCCCACCCCCGAGCCCTGGAAAGGCCCCGTCTCCAAATTCAGTCACATCTGAGGAACTGAAGGTGAGGACCCCACCATGTGAATTTGGGGGACGCAAGTCAGCTGGTAACAACTAGTGTTCTGAAGGTAGAGCGACTTTTCACATCCAAGTTTATTTCAAGTACTTGAGAATTCTTTTCCAGGTCCTTCCTCCTCCTAATAAGCTGTGCTCCAAATACCCGCTCCCAGCTCTGGTTTTCAGCTGCGCACCCCCAGGAATGAAGGCGAGAAGGGGCAGTTGCCTGGCGCCAGGCCGCCCGGTGTCACCCTGTGGGCCGCCCTCCTCCAGGGGCCCGCCTCCGGGTCCACGCGGTGCGGGGGGCCTTCGCCCACACCCACCGCTCTGTAGGGGTGGGCGGCCCCTCTTGGGGGGGGGCATGCAGGGCAGTGAGCTCAGGTGATGTAGTCCACACCCGCTCCTCGCCCCGCACGGGACCTGACACGTGCGGCGTTCGTGCTCAGAGAGTTCACACGGGGGTGGGGAGGGGGAGGGGGCCGGGAGCCGCAGCGCGCAGCCGAGTGACCCGTTGTGACCTGTTTCCACGTTCCCGGGCTCGCTCCTCCGCGGCTGCGGCGGCTGACACGACCATCTGTGTCATGTTTTACTTAGGCGCCTCCGCAAGGGAGCTGGAGGCGACAGCCGGCCCCTCGGCTGCCTTCTCTGCTGTGTTGGAGTCCAGGTGGCCGATCCACGATGCTCAGGGGGACGCCGCCTCCCCAAGTCCAGGCCGGCCTCTTGGTGCAAAGGAGCTGCCGCAGCTCCCGCCACCACACTTCCGTTCCAGCCAACGGAAAGAGCAAAAGGGGAAAGCAGGTGCCTGTTCTTTATCGGGGCGCCCTTAAAGGTGTGGGACTCGCTCCCTCCAGCCCCTTGGTCTTACCTCAGCCATGCGGTTACAAGCAGGTGGGGGGGGGCAGGGCCTCTGCCCGCAGGCCTGCAAAGCCAGGGCCCGCACAGCCGTTACTGTGTCGGGGGGGGGGGGGGGGGGGCGGCAACGGACGGTCCAGGAGGCCGAGCTGCCGGGGGGCGGGGCCTCCGCGCGCCCCGCCCCCGCCCCCTGCAGGGCCGTGGCTCCTCCCCCGCGGGGCGCTGCCGCCCCCTGGTGGCCGCAGGTCTCCCCGGCAGCTGGCACCGTGGTTTGCAAAATCCAAATGCTTGAGATGAAAACAAGGGACCGCCTGAAACGTGCAGTCAGGCTGTCCCGTGCGCCGTCGTCACCCACCGCTCTGTCGGGTTGGGCGGCTGCCGCCGCCCACAGGTGGGGGCCCTGAGGGCCTCCCCGCGGAGAGTTCGCGACCCCCCCTCCGCGGCTCCGCGAGGAAGCCGCGTTGAGAGTCGGGGCCGGAGCGCAAGCTCTCACGACGCGGGGAGGCACGTTCTGATTTAGAACATGAGTTACCCGCAGGGCCGTGAAGAAGCTATGAACTAAAATACCGGCTCCGGGAAAGGGGCAAATCGTAAAAAAGGAGATCTCGGTCACTGATTTCACCTTTTGAATGGAGAGATACAAAAATAAGCGAAATGCCTTCAGATTTTGCGTTTTTGGTAGGAGAACATTTATTTGCAACGAGTAGATCTATTTTATGGGAAAAAAGCCAAATGTGCAAAATGAATAGAATCTTTTACTATTTCCTCCAGAAATTGGTATAAAATCGTTATCATAATTATCAAGTTTGAATCCTGTGGAAGTGTTGCTGCAAGTCATTTTTAAATTGCCTTTCATGTTCACATAATAGTAGATTGGCTCATTATTATTTTTTCCACGTGAGTCCTTATATTTTGGTTTTCAGGTGGTTTTTGGTCATAGCATATGCATATGTGTTTATGAATGTGTGTGTATTTATTAATGATATAGAAAATACAGTCTCTAGGGGCGCCTGGGTGGCTTAGTTGGTTGAGCGTCCGACTTTCGCTTAGGTCACGAACTCACGGTTCGTGGCTTCGAGCCCCACGTCGGGCTCTGTGCTGACAGCTCAGAGCCTGGAGCTGCTTCAGCCTGTGACTCCCTCTCTCTCTGACCCTCCCCTGCTCACGTCTCTCTCTCTGTCTCCTAGAAATAAATAAACATTAAAAAAAAAAAAGAAAATACAGTCTCTATATATGCTTTTTTTAAATTTATTTTTTAATGTTTTATTTATTTCTGAGAGAGACAGAGAGACACCATGAGCAGGGAGGGGCAGAGAGAGAGAGGGAGGCACAGGATCCGAAGCAATCTCCAGGCTCCGAGCTGTCAGCACAGAGCCCGACGCGGGGCTCGAACCCACGAACCTTGAGATCATGACCTGAGCTGAAGTCTGACTCTTAACCGACTGAGCCCCCAGGCGCCCTCTCTCTATATCCTCTAAAGTATATATTTGAGGACAGTTTTTAGGGTGTTCTAAAGTAATAAAGAATAGATTTTTTTTTAAAGGAAGAGACGTAGTCTCCTACTCACCAGAAATAAACTCTAAAATGAAGCACTCGCTTCCGTATCTCTCTAAACTCTGGGTCTGCCCGGCTCGTTTCCTCTCACCATCAGGACAGCAGAGCAGGACCATGGCCCCCGGGTGAGC